GAATATAATGTAAAAAACTTATTATTAGATTATTTAATTTAAAATTCAATTAAATTCATTTCTTTTGTTACTGTACTTAGTGCTGTTGATGTTACAACAGAAGTAGTGAATGAGCGTACATGAGATCGAAATGTTGATGCAGGTCCCCATGCTTCATCTCGGATAATTCCCTGATTTCGTGGATAAATAAGCAATGGATCTTTTCCTGTTTTTTTACATAATTTTTCTTGAAGCATTATTAAACGAAACCTCCAATATTCATAACTTGCTTGCTTAAGTTGATTGACCCATTCTTCCACTTGAGACTCTGAACGACCACTTAAGATATGTCTTTTTTCATATTCATCTCGAAATGCTATACTAAATGCGAACACTCCTTCAGAACCAGCATCAAGATTAATACTATAATTCTCTAAAATAATTACACCTGCTGGTTGTCTTCTGTCAATTTGTCCTAATTCATTAATATTAAAATAAAACAATAAATTGCACCTTAATTTGAACCATTTCTCCTTGAATCCTGAAAAGTAAAATATATGAACATTAATAAATAATAACATAATGAATTCTAGAACCTAATTAATATATTAAACAACCTATTAATATATAATTCGTTAAATTATTTATTTTTCACATTTTTCAATACTAGAAATAGTAAACTAAAGATTAATAGGTTATTGAACATAATATTTTCTTAAATAAATTTATTTGATTGGTGATTATGCTAACCTGATTTGTGAGCTCGTTTATGATTTAAACGGCCTTCAATATCAGCAAGACCACTACTTGCTTCTGCAAGTTCTTTTTCATTGAATTTCATGATAATAAAAAATTATTTACACTTTGTACATTACTACGTTATATAAATACTGTCGCATTTATAATATGTATATAATTCATGTTATTGGTTGTTTTAAGTACATTTATTAAAGAATTTGGCTACATTCCTCGAAAACTTATTGCCAAATTGTCAATGCTGTACTGCAGTGTTATATGTACCATTATTTGTCCTACTAATTTTAACAATCTTTCATAATTTTACTTACAAATTTCAATAATCACTTGTAATAATCGCCAAAGAAAAATTGTAACCTATGTACATACTAACATAACACAAACGATTATGCGTATTAAACAACTATAAAGTTTGCAGAGTGTAGTACTAAAAATTTGAAATAGCGCGTTCCATCCCACCAGTCTGAGAAACATGGATATAATTTATTATATCTTTTTATGATAATGTATCTTCGTTTAATTTGTTTCTAATCTATAGATATAACATATTGTTCGTTTTTAAACAAAGTTTATGATAATGTTGCTATCAATGAATGTATTAAATGAAACTTACAAAATTTACGTAAATAAATATACTAATAGTGTTGGCTATCCTGAAAGATACATATGCAATGCACTTCATACGTTTTACATGTAAAAGATTGTGTCAACTGCACAAACTGTCAAAATTACAATCATTATAAGTTTATTTACTAATAGATATGGGTTGCTTTAGCTATCTGCGATTCCTTTAATTTATCAAAAAACAAATCATATGATTAACTTTAAGCAGCAAAAAAGTTTAACTAATAGTAACAGTTTATAATTATATTCAATATAATTAAGCGATGGGATCGCTAACAAGTCGACAAAACGCTGGCGTAGAAGAAGTTAATATCGTTTCAAATCATGCATACAAATATCCTCCTCGATCGGGTTTGTTTATGTTACTTTACAAATGTTATCACAATATTAAATAATGTAATTCTAAAAAATACTTTCAAAATCATTGAAATATAGAATTAAACTACTTACATATTAATAAGTCATTTAATATAATGCATGTTATAAATTAAAACATGTTTTGTAGCTTATTTAATAAATTTTATTCATTAGGAAGCTATTTTGGTAGTCATTTTATAATGGGTGGTGAAAGATTTGATACACCTCAACCAGAAGCATATCTTTTTGGAGAAAATGCTGATTTAAATTTCTTAGGAAGTCATCCAACACCTGTAAGATATAATATTATAATATTATATAAACATCATACATCAAATGTTTAAAAATATTACTTTTATTTAAGTTTCCATATCCTCCACCACAAGCTAATGATCCTACTAAAACATTGAAAAGTTTAGTGAATATAAGGAGAGAATCATTAAGATTAGTTCGTAATGTTGATCAAACTTCCACTTCACCACAATGTCATACTGTAAAGCATTATGGAGATGGTGATATAGATAAGAAACCAAATCGTTATAATATTGAATTCACATTTGACTGTGATGTAAGATGTGCAATTACAATATATTACTTTTGCACTGAAGAAGTAACAACAAAGGGAGTTACGTATGTAGTAAAAATATCTCAGAAGTCTGATATATTATGTAGAATATTATATACAACTTAAGGATATAATGTTATTTGTAGATACATACCAACAGATCTTTCTATGAATTCTGAAACATATTATTATAAAAAAGGTGCAAATCAATTATTTTCTCAAACATCACATGTTTTTGATCCAACAGTTTATAGTAAAGAGGATTTATTGTATAATGCTGATAGGGAAGTATGTACGTTTACAATATGTATGTTTTAAATTTACATACCTTTTAAACTATTTTTTATTAATTATTGCAATTACTTGTAGATAATACCAATAGCAATTCAGTGTGTAGCAGAAGAAGGTTCAGATGAACCAAAACAGTCTCATACAACTATTGCAGTTGTTGAAAAACATTCAGATGGAACATATGTATTAAAAGCTCTTAAACAAAAGCTTTTTGTTGATGGTCTTTGTTATTTGCTTCAAGAAATATATGGAATTGAAAACAAAAATGCTGAAAATGCAAAGGTATGGGAAACTAATATATAATTAATATTCTTCATTTTTATATTTCCTTCAAAATAATTTATTTTTTAGCAACAAGGTAGTGATGAAGATACAGATGACAATGGGTCAGAATGTGTTATTTGTATGTGTGATGTACGAGATACTTTAATACTGCCATGTAGACATTTATGTTTATGTAACAGTTGTGCAGATTCTCTTCGGTATCAAGCTAACAATTGTCCAATATGTCGAGCTCCTTTTAGAGCACTTCTTCAAATTAAAGCTCTTCAAAAAGCAACTGGAGCTATTATATCAAATCCACCTTTACCAGAGGTTGATATTTGTTCACACAAGTGATTATTCATGTAGATAGTGTTTATATTTATGTTAATATGGTTTCTTATGAAATTTAATTGAAAATAAATTTAGTAATACTCAACTGACGAAATATTAAATCTTTAGGGAAGTTGTGAAAATATTCCAGCAGGATATGAAGCTGTATCATTAATAGAAGCTTTGAATGGCCCATACATTCCAAGAACTGCTGCTCTTGCTCCAGAATCTCCAGACACACCTGACACAGACACAGCTAGTGCAATTCAGGCAGCTGAAGCATTAAATAGGTAAAAAATTATATTAATTAAATTTTTGAAGCTATATTTAGTTTCTATTGGTATAATTCATTTACATTATAACTTGCATGTTATTTAAAAGGTCTGTAGAACGTACACCTGTATCAAAGCATATATCTTCAAAAGAAACAGATATATCTGCAAGGACAAGTGGTACTGTATGCCCTACTCCAGAATTTAGGATGACAGTTTTATTAGGAAGAGACGAACATTCAGGATCACAGAAAGACCTACATAGTCGATCCCCAGCAATGAGAATGAAAACTTCTGGACATTTACGAGAAAAAGCTGCATTGAGATCACGAGATACCCTTCGACTTGTTAACGAAAAACAACCTGTTTCTCTTTATGAGGTATTCTGTTGATGTTTAGTTTTCAAATTATTTTACATTTTTGAATACTACAAATAAAATATCCAAAATATAAATTTGTACTATGCTGTTCAACTAAATCAGTATTTACAGGGACAAGGACAAGATGAGGACAGCGAGGCAGAAAAATTATCTCCCTTATTGAACGCAGCAACCAGTACGGAAGCACTTGATGCTCATAGTCACGGAATATGTGATATGGATATTAACGACGAGATTCAAAATACAGAAAATGAAAATGATGCTGACATTACATGTCATTCTCATTAATATAAATACATCTGTATGAAAATATCTAATTATAATGTCGGTCCTAAAATTTTCTTGGTATTGTGATTTCAAATTGTAAATAATATTTTAATTGTAAATTATAAAGAAATAGTTTTAAATTATTTATACAAACTTGCATACATAGTTTCGAACATGTGTCCTGTAGTATTAAAATTTACCTAACTTTTCAAACCACAATTCGTTTGTTGGCTGAAGAATACCAGAAAGTACTTTTAATAACAGTGTTTCAAAAATTAGTTCATGTAATTTTTGAAAGAATTTAAGTTATTTCATTAAATTTTCAATTCTACTTTACGAAATTAGTAGATATTACAAATAAATAATTGAAAAAAAGTAATATGAATTAAAAGTACAGAAATTATGGAGTATGATTAATAACACATATATCTATCTTCAACTGATTTAATGAAATCAAATTTTAAAAGATTGTTATTTGCTTAAACAGCAGCAAGAATTTTTCTGAATTTCTTCCATTCTTCAAGAGGTCCATGTTCAGGTAAATATTTCACATTGCAACCATCTGGAGCAAGGCGGCCAGCCGCTTTTAGTTCTTCATACTCGGCACGATCATATTTGGTGAATCCCCATTTCTTTGATACATAAATTTTTTGACGACCTGGAAATTTGAATTTCGCACGACGCAA